TTTAGGAGCTTGCTGCTTCCTTGTGCCCGCGTAGCACATGCGAAGCCTGGTCCTCTGCCATTGAACTTGTCCGCAGGGCAGGATGAGAAGAAGGTGCTGTCCTGACCGGGTGACCAGGTCAAGCTGAAGGTTTTGCGCCATGCTTCTTCGCTGCTTCGCGCAAGCTTTCAGGCAGACATCCCATGACCCCTAAACCCCAGAACCCTAAACCCCTAAGCCCCAAACTCTGCTGGCTTGAGCTACTCTGGCCCTGCATGCCGACTAGCTGTCCGAACGCATCATCCGCCCCGCCTCAATCCAGCGATTCTCAGCACCTCGGCTCCGTTCAGTCGCTGGTTGAACTCGCAGAAGCCTGCAAAACATCCTAAATATCCTAAAGTCCGCTAAGAGTCTCATCCCTGGAGCCCAGGAAACGCTTGACCCTGACCTCCCCTCCCCAAAGCCATAAAAAGCGCGCCGCCGGCCTTCTCTGACACTGCGGCTGCAGGTTAGGGCCAGCGTCGCGGCAAGCCCTGCGAGCGGAAAGAGCGGTTCCAGCAGTTGGGCTGCCAAGTCCTCACGAGGCCTGTCTTACCGATGTGCCGGCACGGTTCTCCCGCAAACATGGGACGTCATAGAAACATCGAAGTTTCGCGAGAAATTGCACAACGCCCATATTTTGCAGATCTTGATAGCCACAGCTCCGCCAGGCCTAGCAGCACCGCCACACACACTGGCACCAGAACCAGGTCCTTGAACACAGCCCTGAAGTACTTAGGGTTTAGGGTTTAAGGTTTAGGGTTCAGGGTTTAGGGTTTAGGGTTTAGGGTTTAGGGTTTAGGGTTTAGGGGTTAGGGTTTAGGGTTCAGGGTTCAGGGTTTAGGGTTTAGGGTTCAGGGTTTAGGGTTTCGGGTTTAGGGTTTAGGGCTTAGGGGTTAGGGGTTTAGGGTTTTGGGTTTAGGGTTTGGGGTTTAGGGTTTAGGGTTTTTGGGTTTAGGGTTTAGGGTTTGGGGGTTAGGGGTTAGGGGTTTAGGGTTTTTGGGTTTGGAGTTTAGGGTTTAGGGTTTAGGGTTTAGGGTTTAGGGTCTGGGGATATTATGCAAGATCATCCAAGATTGTAATTGTTTGCATACATATATATATATATATATGTATGTATGTACAGATATGTATATATGGTATATGCACCCTCAACCCAAGGCGCCTTGCCTAACAGTGACCCCTTGATACCTCTTAAGTTCCCGCAAGCTGTATAACCTTAACAGTTTAGGTTAGAGCCCTAAACCCTAAACCCTAAACCCTAAACCCTAAACCCTAAACCCTAAACCCTAAACCCTAAACCCTAAACCCTATCGATTCTTGGCCACACTGTCCTGTACCAGGGCAAAAGCCATGGCTTCCAGCCAGTCCAAGCCATCTTTAGCGGAAACGTTGGCGAGGAAGAGCAAGCAGTAGAAGAGGCAGCAGCCACCGTAGCCCAAAGAGAGCACCTTCAACAGGTTTAGGGTTTAGGGTTTAGGGTTTCGGGTTTAGAGTTTGAAGTTTGGGGTTTAGGGTTTAGGGAAACCGTAGACCAAAGAGAGCACCTTAGGATGTTGCTGAAGGAAACCGAAGTCTGCTGCACTTCAACTGCAACTATGATGAACCGATATTAAGGGTTTAGGGTTTAGGGTTTAGGGTTTAGGGTTTAGGGTTTAGGGTTTAGGGTTTAGGCCGGGTTTAGGGTTTAGGGCTTAGGGCTTAGGGCTTAGGGTTTAGGGTTTAGGGTCCAGGCCGAAATGTTGTCTGCGATGCCGCTACGAGGCGCCCAGAAGCATAGGAGCCTCAGTCGCCATACGCATTTCTGCCTGGCCATCTTCCGGCTTGTCCACGACTCCTCCCACGTCTTCCACCAGAGCTACATGGGTGGTTGTCGAAATAATGGCCCCTTTTTTGGATCCCTGTGAGAATAGGGCACCGAATGTTTAGGGTACCCCAAAAGGGGCCATAATTTTGACCACCACCCACATGGCAGACAAGCCGCATCATGTTTGGGGTACCCCGATACAAAACGGGTCCTGGGTAGTTGGGTTCTGGCACCCTACTTCACAAGTGTACAGGGTGCAGGAACTGGTATTGGATGCCCCAGGTCAAGGGCTTAGGGGGTGCATAGCTTTAGGCTGTCAAGTGATGTGTGTGTATATATTTTTTTTTGTATACCGGGTATGCTCATGCAGATATGCGGGGTCTGAGTCCTGTCGAACAGTTCTGCGCCACTGCACAAGGAAGAGGAAGAGGATCACGGCATCGCCAATGAACCTCAATTGTTTGCGGGTCCGATAGGGAAATATTTGTAGGGAAGATCAAGAACAAGGCTAGCTTGCGGGAAGCTTGTGGTACTTTAGGGATTTGTGGTTCAGGGAGACCTCCTACATCGTGAAGTTTCTGATTCGCGTCACAGGTCTGTAGGACTCCTGTGGAAGTGAACATGGAAACAAAACCACGAGGGCTCAGGGTTGAGGGGAGGAGCAAGGAGACGACGCTGATCCAGAATTTCCGCACCAGCTGGGAAATAAAATCGTCCGCCACTCTGCAGCCTCAAGTGCTTGAGGGTTTAGGGTTTAGGGTTTAGGGTTTAGGGTTTAGGGTTTAGGGTTTAGGGTTTAGGGTTTAGGGTTTAGGGTTTGAGCTATGCCTCGCAAGCGGACCCACTGCTTCTTGAAAAGGGCTCTCGCGGCACATTTCTTTGACGGCCCAGTGCAGACCAAATGTGCTGCAGTCAGTGCAGACCACATGTGCTGCAGTCAGTGTGTCACTGTAGCTAGCTACTACATAGCTACTACACAAATAACATTCGCCGAACCGAACTACTTATATGGACCCTGGCGTTACCAAGAGCCTTAGGGAAGCTACCCACGTAGGGCTTTAAAGGAGTTGTGAAGAGTTAGCTAACCCCAGAGTCCACTAGTACGCGCGCTGTCCCAAGGGGCCGGAGTCGCTGTCATCGAGCTGTGCGTCGCTGCTGAAGAAAAGGGCGGCCACAGCTCCTAGGGATTCTGTTGTTGAAATTTATGCCCACGGCTCATGTATTGAAGCATCGGATGCTGCGTCGCGCTTCGCGCGCCCGTCCGCGAACCCTGGCAAGTAAGTGCCGCGCCGGCACCCGCCAGCTTCAGGATGAGAAGCGCCGTGCGCACGGAGGCGCGCACGAAGGCGCAGAATCCTTGGCTATCCGAGAGGTGGTGGAGAAGCCCCGAGCTTGAAGGGCCTACTGAGTTTCTGAATGATCTGTTGGGTCACTTTAGCGCAGAAACTGTGTTGTAGGGGTTGTGAGGGGATCACAGAGTAACTCATAGTGGCGACATTTTTCGCCTCCTGTGTTACCTCCAACCCTCAACCCTAAACCCTAAACCCAAACCCTAAACCCTACACCCTACACCCTAAACACTAAACCCTCAACCCTAAACCCTAAACCCTAAACGATGCACCGAGCGATCAGCACCCAGGCCGAGTCTCTGAGTGGCGTCAGCCAGGGGTGTTTGGCCGGGAGCCTCGAGAGACCCAACCTCCCTCATTCTGGGGTTTAGGGTTTAGGGTTTAGGGATTAGGGTTTAGGGTTTAGGGTTTAGGGTTTCGGGTTTAGGGTTTAGGGTTTAGGGTTTAGGGTTTAGGGTTTAGGGTTTAGGGTTTAGGGTTTAGGGTTTAGGGTTTAGGGTTTAGGGTCTAGGGTCTAGGGTTTAGGGTTTAGGGTTTAGAGTACGACAAGAAAGCCTAAACAATCCCAGAAAAGCGGGCTTGATGGGCCCCTCGTGGCACTTCGCTAATCGCAACAGCCGACCCCCTCAATCAGCCCCAAAGGCCTACGAATTGCTTAAGAACCCCCAAGAAACAGGAAAAGACTCTTGCCTATAAAGGGAATATAGGGAATAGTAGTTTTTCAGTTTCGGTGGTTCTTAAGCAAATAGTAGAATAGAAGCACAGGTTGCGTTACACTGGTAGACTTTGGGTCCTGGGAGGCCACATTGGGGGTGGAGGTTGCTGACTCTAAAGAGGCAGAGGAGTCGTGTAAATTTGACGAGGTCTGGGAAGTATGAAAGCCGATAGGGCCTACCCTGAACCCTGCGCCCTAAAGCCTGAAACCCCAAAGTCCCAAAACCCATAAAGCCATCCAACGTTTTGTGTAAATCCTGACAAAAACCACAAAGCTTAAACCCAAAACTGAAACTCCAAACCCTAAACCCCAACCCCGAAACCTTAAAACCTTAACCTAAATCCTAAACGCAAAGCTGTCAACGTGCAGGTTCCCAAAAGGTAGGGTACAGCATTGGGGTTCAGGGCCCACCCCCCCGACCCACCCGCCCAACCCCCCCACCCTCCCCCAATGGATGCGTTACGGCGCGTCGCGCAGCGTCGAAATTGACACGTCAGCCTGACGAAAGTGCAGCCCAAGGACAGCAGCCGGACCCGCATGTGCCAAGGGCCTTGCACCAGAAGCTTGCAAATCAATGCTCTAAGTTTGGGATGTTCCCCCCCCAGAGGCACTATAATCCCTACTCAGGACTGTTTGGTATAAGGGGGAACATCCCAAGCTATAAGGGGTGCGAGATCTGCTTGCCCGTGTTTTAGTGCAGATGTCTCAACAAAGGGCCTTCCACGAACTCCTCGACGCTGGAGAAGCCATGTCCTTTGTTTCCATGACAAGGTCTGCTGGCTGGTAGGGAATGAGGGAATTTGGTACCCTACAAAATCCCTAAAAGGGTATAAAAGGGCCCGAATTCCCTCATACCCTACTCAGACTCTGCACCGAGAAGGCCCAGCAAGAAGGCTGGCGGACTTTTGATGGAGTTCTGGTGGTCTTGCATGCTCTACCAGAGTCGGCCAGTTCTTGGCAAGGGGCCATGGATGTCCAGGTTGTGCGACGAGTTGCCAAGCCTGCCCAGTATCTCCATAGCATCTCTGGTCTGGGATCGCCGAAGCTTTCCGCTCCCGTGGCGGAGAAGAGCGCGGAGGCTCTGCTTCTCCACTCGGCTCCTGTCTTCAGCACAAAAAGGGCAGAGAAGGCCCCTGCAGTTCGAGGAGTACTGCTAGAAAGAGACTACTTACACAGCAGCAAGAACCAGTCAGTCCCCTTCCCATCCTTCGACCGGGCTACCCAAGGGTCCTGTGCGAATGTATCGCTTCGATGCAGTGGTTGACCAGAGTCTCGCCGACAAAAGGTCCCAAGCGACCCACCTTGAGCAGGGTTGCCACCAGGCGACGGCACTGGCTCAGCAGCCATCCTTCCACAAGGGCACTGCTCCGAAACAAACCCAGCCCTTAAGCCGTCCCCACTCTGAAACACCCCCCCCCTCCTTCCCGCCGGCCCCCCCCCAAAACAAAGAAGAATTAAAAAACTCAACCCGGAAATCCATGGCCCCTTCTCTGCAGGATGTCCTCCGGAAGGGCACCAGCACCAGGCGCCAACATCCTCCTCAGCGACCGAGGCCCCCATAAGCCGATAGGGCTTAGGGCTTAGGGCTTAGGGCTTAGGGCTTAGGGCTTAGAGCTTAGGGCTTAGGGTTTAGGGTTTAGGGTTTAGGGTTTAGGGCTTAGGGCTTAGGGCTTAGGGTTTAGGGTTTAGGGTTTAGGGTTTAGGGTTTAGGCGGGTTTTGGGTCTAGTTCTCAGGGCTGAGGGCTGAGGACTTCGGGTTTGGGGGGTTCCTGAGCAGAGCTTTGGCTGAAGGCTTTCTTTTGTCTCCACACCTTTCTTGGTACTCTCGCAAGGAGGAGGATAGGTGCCTACTGCACTGTCGGAAAGCAACACAACCCAGGCAAGGACAAACAAAAAGTGGGGCAAAAAGGGGGCGTCCTTCAGGCTTTCTTGCGTGTGGAAGTGCAGGGCATTCCGGTCTTCCTTGGCAATCGCCTGCTGAGCCTTCCAGTCTTGTCGGTGGGCGGCGCACAAGGCCAGCAGGGACCTGGGAAGCCAAACCCAAACCCAATAAGAGAATGCCCCTTGGTCCCTACTACCACTCCAAACGCAAAGTCTCTAAAGAGCTGCAGGTTTTGGGGGGACCTTTTGGGCGTCCTTTGAAGAGGGGGCCAGAGAGAACCCCCATGCGGTCCAGGCGCAACCCCACGAAGCAAAAGACGACGAGGGTCGAAGCCCGGGTGAGCCATTCCGTCCTGCAGAGAGTGCAGCATGTCTTTATACAGCCAGGCACCCCGGTGCTCCTCGCGCACGGCACATGAAGACGAGTTTCAAATGAGTGCTTGGGAGGCCTTTTCTGGCTCACGACCCTGCAACAGGCCTTGTCATCCGGTGCAGCCCCGTCTCCGTGGCAATTTGGGCGAAGGTGCTGCAACTTAGCGCTTGTAGGATGCCGGCAAACACGGGCGCCAACTGCTCGGACTCGAACGCGAGGATGAAGTCGCTGGTTTGTCGGAGTCGACGTTCAGGCGCCACAAGGTTTTGGACGCCTTCGGTGGACCACCGGGCAGCCTCCTCGTCCCAGTAGGCACCCACCGCCGCAGCGTCCGAGGCCTCAGACTTGACTCTCAAGTCCTTGAACTCTTCATCTTTAGTACTGGTTTAACCGCCTTATTGGGGCCTCCTTCTGTGCCCCGAAGTTGCCCTCCTAAGCCACAGAAATAGGATGGTGCCTCGAGGCTCAGGACCAGCGGGGTCTGCAGCTTGCGCCCTGAACAAGGCGGTTCCAGGGAGGCGGGTCGCGGGGGGTCTTAGGGTATTCACCTGAAGGCAGCAACCGCTGCGGTGCTGGTCAAGCTCGGCATCGTCCCTAAGCCTAAAACCTAAACTGCTCACTGAGCCAACAAGGGACCACAAAGAAGTCAACATTCTTGGGCTTCGCGTCGTTTCAGAGGTCCCTTTTTCTCCCACACTGTAAACTGTAAACGATGCATCGCACATACAGTTTGGGGGGGGGCGGTCCAAGTTCGGCTCGGCCCCAGCAAGATGTGTTCGGAGATTCTGGAGCCTCCTGGAGATGAAGGTTTTGGGTCCGGGTGTTTGGCGCCGCGGCCCACCGCCTTGCCCACAACAATGACAAGCAGCGCTTCTCTCGGCTGCCACGAACCGGTCGACAGGCAACGATTACACGTTCACAATTGGGGGTTTACAGTACCCTCCCCTCCCCCCCCCCCGGCCTATATCCAGGGGCTTGCCGTCTGCTCCGAACAGGCTGAAGATCAAGGGCTTGGATGCCAGCTTGATGGGGGCGTCTGTCCCTGGCTCGCACATATTAAACATGAACATATATGTGTATATGTATCTACATGATATATGAATATGGCGTATTTAGAATACATATACATGTACATAAACATAAACATATACATATACATATACATATACAAATACAAATACACATACATACACATATACACATACACATACATATACATTTAATACAAGCACCCTCCCGAAGAACCAACCTCGGGCTCTTGCATGCCTAAATCTCAATGGAAAAGCGCTCTGTCAGTCTGACTGGAGGGCGACCCATGCATATTGGTACCAATATGAACAAAATACCATCGTTAGGATTACAATTTGTATGTATACATATACATATATACAAATATATTAGACACACCCCCCCCCCCCCCCCCCCCCATGATCCACACCTATGGCTGGTTTTCCTGTCTTCCTCTTTGTCTGATTTTCTGCGTTTTCCTCGGAAAGAAGCAGTAAAAAATGTACCGGAATTCAAAAGGCTCTTTTTTCTATCCCATATAAAAACACCAGTGTTTTTATGTGCGTTTTGCTTCTGAAACGTGTGTCCTGCGGCTCCACAAAATTTTAGAAGGGCGGCCATTTAGAATTTTAAGGCTTTTCAGGGTCTTACAGGTTTTTGAATATTTAAATGATCTGCGGAAGGCACCGGGGCTTCCCCAGACCATTTCAAACCTTTAAAAACCCATAAAATCCTTAATGTTTTTTGAACGGGCAGCCCTTTGAAAATTTTAAGGGCTTTCAGGTCTTTAAGGCCATTCAACATTTTCAGGATTTAAAGGATTTTAAAAGGCTTTACAACCCTTAAAAACCTGAGAACTTCATCTCTTAAGATTCCAAAATACCTTAAATGTAAAATGTGGCAGCCGTTTAAAATTAAGGAATTTACGGATTTTAGAATTGAACATCCGAAAATCCTTAAACTTTAACAGGAAAATCATTTTCAACTTTAAGAATTTCAGGGTTTTAAGGATTTGTAAAAAATTACATGGTCTGGGAAGGCACCGGGGCTTCTCCGGACCATTGACGACTTTCAAAACCCTTAACATCCTGAAAGGGCAGCCATGAGAAAGCTTAAGGGTTTTAAGTTTTCTCAAAGGAATTGAAACCTTTAAAATCCTCAGAATGTTTAAACAGAATCTTAAGGATCTTTATAAAATTTTGAGGATTCAAAAAATTAGATTGTCTGGCGGAGCCCCGGCGCCTTCCCAGACCATTCAAATTTCAAACAGTTTTTTGAAAAATGGTCTGGGGAAGCCCCAGTGCCTTCTCCAGATGATTTAGATTTGTAAAAACCCTTGAAACCCTTCACCCTAAATACCAAACCCGAAACCCCTAACACTAAACCGTAGACACCCAGCACTAGACCCTAAACACTAACCCTAAAAACTTAACACTAAGCCCTTAGCACATACCCCAAACACTTAACACGAAACCCTAAACACTTAAGCAATAAACCCTAAACACTAAACCCTAAACACTTAAACATTATACCTTTAAAAACTAAAACACTAAACCCTACACACTAAACCCTGAACACTAAACCCTAAACCCTAAACAGTAAACCCCAAAGTCGGAACCTCAAGCCCTACTAAATCTAAACCTGAAACCAAAAACCGTCGAGGTTTCAGATGCTTGCTGTTTGGATTTTAGAGTTTAGGGTTATTTGGTTTAGGGTTTTTGCCAAGTCGCTTGACCCTAAACCCTAAACCTAGACCTGGACCCTAAACTTAACACTAAACCCTAAATACAAAACACCAAACCCTGAAACCTGCACACTACACCCTAAACACTAAACACTAAACCCGAAACGACAATCCTGAACCCTAAAAACCAAACCCCAAACCCAAAAAACCATGCGGGTTTCAGTAAACCTACACACCAAACCCTAAACACTAAACACTACTAAACCATAAACCATAAACCCTGAACCCTAAACCCTAAACACTAAACCCTAAACCCAAAACCAAAAAAACATGGGGGTTTCAGTGCTTTAGGGGTTTTAAAACTTAATCATTATAAGGTTTAGGGTTTTAAACATTATCCAAGTCGGATAACCCTAAACCCTAAAAAGTAAACCCCAAACCCTTTTAAAACCAAGCCTCAACACTAGACCCTAAACACAATAAACACTAAACCGTAATCCCTAAACGTGCATACGGAGAACACAGGCCCCGACTCCAGACTCCAGATTTCCAGAAAAAATCTGGAGTACCCGGGGCCCGGGACTCCAGACTCCAGATTTCCAGAAAAAACATGGAGTACCGGGGCCCCGGACTCCAGACTCCAGATTTCCAGGAAAAATCTAGAGTACCCGGGCCCCGGACTCCATACCCGGGCCCCGGACTCCACACTCCAGATTTCCAGAAAAATCTGAAGTACCCGGGCCCCGGACTCCAGATTACAGACTCCAGATTCTGGAGTCACGGTCCCGGTACTCCAGATTTATTCTGGAAATCTGGAGTCCGGAGGTACTCCAGATTTATTCTGGAAATCTGAGTCTAAAGTCCGGGGCCCGGGTACTCCAGATCTTTTCTGGAAATCTGGAGTCTGGAGTCCGGGGCGCCGGTGCTCCATTTTTTTCTGGAAATCTGGAGTCTGGAGTCCCACCCCCCCTCCCAAAACCCCACATCCACAGCCTCCCCGAGGCCAAATGTGTGGATCACGGGGCGGGGGGCGAGCAAATATATTTACATTTACATTACATGTACATGTACATGTACATGTACATGTACATGTACCTTTACCTTTACCTTTACCTTTACCTTTACATTTACATTTACCTTTACATTTACATTTACATTTACATTTATTTGAGTGTGTGTGTGATATACGGTTTCCTGTTTTGTAGCGTTTTTGTGCAGGCCGGCCTTCGGCGTCTCCGGCGACGGGTAAGTTGCTGAACTTTGCGGCAAAGTCCTCACAGCGCACGGCTCGGACGTGCCTAACCCCTAAACCCTAAACCCTAAACCCTAAACCCCCGAAACCCTAAACCCTAAACCCTAAACCCTAAACCCTAAACCCTAAACCCTAAACCCTAAACCCCCGAAACCCTAAACCCGAAACCCTAAAAATCCTAGCAACCCAGCGAGAAGGGACAGTGGCCTCGGTCGCAAGGGTGATGCTGAGCAGGACAGGAGCGCCATCCGAGATTTCTGCCAGCAGATCGGCTGGAACCTTGCAACAAGGTTGGGGTTTGGGGATTTAGGGGATTTAGGGGATTTCGGGGATTTAGGGGTTTAAGGGTTTAGGGGTTTAGGGGTTTGGGTGTTTGGGGTTTAGGGGTCCAGGGGTTCAGGGGTCCAGGGGTTCAGGGGTTCAGGGGTTTAGGGGTTTAGGGGTTTAGGGGTTTAGGGGTTTAGGGGTTTAGGGGTTTAGGGGTTTAGGGGTTTAGGGGTTTAGGGGTTTAGGGGTTTAGGGGCTTAGGGGTTTAGGGGTTTAGGGGTTTAAGGGTTTAAGGTTTTAGGGGCTTAGGCTTTAGGGGTTTTAGGGGTTTAGACTTTAGGGTTTAGAGATAAACAAGGCGATCGAGCTGACGAACCCCCTGCCACACATGTGCGACGCTCGGTGACACACGTCTGTGAGGCGAAGCCCAACCTGCCTCTACGCCAGCGGATGAGTTCTCGTCCCCCACGCTGACGGGCACGCTGTCTGTCACCGTGGTCGGAGAAAGGGCTACCACCTGAACAGTTCCGGCTACAGAAAGTGTGTACAGAAGGTCCCTCCTTCCCCTTAGACTTCCGCCTTGACGGTGCCGACCTCCGTCGACAGAGAGAGCTCGGCGAAAACACCGCTTTCGTTTACGTTGGAATCCGACTGGTTCGGCGCACTCAGCTGCGTCCAGGTTTCCAGGATCTCCCGCACCGCCGCCTTGGCTCCCAGGGACGGACTCGCAAAACCCGAGCTGCTCTCCGATTCTTGGTCAGAAGGCAAGGGTTCAACTCCAGAAATACTCAAAAACAAATCCTAGGAACCACACAGCTTGGCTGAGGGATGTGTCTATACTCCCCTTAGAACCTTCATAAACATGGTATTTTTAATCTCCTCTTGGGTTTTAGATAAACAAGAACAAAAAATAATTCCCAAGGGGGATATAGGTGTAGGTCCGGCACCTCCTCGCGTCTGAGCTTGCAGCTAGGTTTAGGGTTTAGGGTTTAGGGTTTAGGGTTTAGGGTTTAGGGTTTAGGGTTTAGGGTTTAGGGTTTAGGGTTTAGGGTTTAGGGTTTAGGGTTTAGGGTTTAGGGATTAGGGTTTAGGGTTTAGGGTTTAGGGTTTAGGGCTCAGCATCTCTGATCCAAGCATTCACTAAGGGTGTCTGGCATCACCCCACCCCAGATCCCTTTCATTTGGCAACCCTATCTACCATTTCAATTCTTATTGCCTAAGTCCCCTGAACCTTGAATCCTAAATCCTAAATGCCCTAGATAGCTTTCAAAAACCCAAAGCACCCCGAAAAAGATGGAACTCAGGATTTGCTTGCTCCCGCAATGAGAAATGCTGTTTTTTAATCCTAGAAATCGACGGTTTCGGGGCCCCTCCATTTTACCCCTACCACAGCCGCAGCCCCAAATAGCTTTGAAAAGCCCCAAAAGGCTTCAAAAACCCCCCAAAAGGGGGGGGACCCGGGATTTGCTGCTCCCGCACTGAAAAGTGCTGTTTTTCGTACTGTTTTCGTAAAACCCACAAAATTTCAGAAACAATACATTTTTGAAGGCAAACTTTCCCCTCAAGGGGGGTCGAAATTTTAGCCAAGGGGGGTCTCCGAATACTGTTTTGCTTTAAAAAATGGAAGAATAGGACCCCCCCCTTGACCAAAATTAGGCTGTGAAAAGGTCGCGGGGGCCCTTCATCAGAATCGGGGCTTTTGAAGCCCCGGTCAGGGGGGGGGCCTGGGAAGCCCCGTAGAAGCTCCTGGGAGGGTTCTGGGGGGAGGGAGTAGGATTTAGGATTTAGGATTTAGGATTTAGGATTTAGGATTTAGGATTTAGGATTTAGGATTTAAGATTTACGATTTAGGATGTAGGATTTAGCCTTTAAGATTTAGGAACCACGAAACCACAAAATCACAAGACGACCCCATTAAGGTTTAAATATATATATAGAAAGAGAGTGTTTAGGGTTTGGGGTTTAGAATTTCGGGTGTAGGGTTTCGGGTTTCGGGTTTAGGGTTTCGGGTTTAGGGTTTAGGGTTTAGGGTTTAGGGTTTCGGGTTTAGATTCCTTGCAGCTGAGCATCCTCGGACCTTTGCTCCACGAGCCTCACAGCAGCCGAAGCCTTTCCAGATGCGTGGACTACCCGTTTAGGGGTTTACAGGGTCTAGGGTTTTAGACCCTAAACTTTAGGGTGACAACATGAGAAAATCACAGCAAGTACTTGCGTTTCTGGACCGAAGCCGTAAGCCCTCAACCCTTTAAACCCTGTAAACCCTCTAATTAAAGCCGCTCAACCCTGTAAACCCTCTAAACCCTGTCCTGTAAACCCTCTAAACCCTCTAAACCATGTAAACCCTCGAACCAGTGTAGGTCGGACTGCCTAGCTTGATAGATATTGCAATATGATCATTCCGCCTCCCAACGGGCACGAAAGCCGTTGTTGGGGTCCCTCAGATGCTTCAAGGACCTTTCTGGATCCCCACAATACAAGTCGCCCCAAAAGAACCTCACCCAGCACCCAAAAGCCCCTCCAGTCCAGAAAAGATCGACGCCAAAAAAGAGGGTTCGGGCTTGGAATGGTTTAGGGTTTGGGCACAGCCCTAAAAAGGACTTGGTTAGGGATGCCCTGCTGCCTTGGACAGTGCGGCAGCTGCGGTATAGGGTTTAGGGTTTAGGGTTTACGGTTTGGGGTTTGGGGTTTGGGGATTTGGGTTTTGGGTGTTTGGGTTTAGGGTTTGCTGTGATATGGCGCAGAAGCTGTGCAGGTTAGAAGGGATCGTGATGTGCCAACCCTAATCCCCTGCAACTGGCCTCTTGCTGTCTCTGCTGCATGAGCCTCTCCTTTTGAAGCAAAGACTCAGGGAGTGGGGTCACCCTGCTTAAACAGCTTGCTTATGAGGCTACAAGTAATTCACAGCACTCCGGAAGCAGTCCTCATCGCCACCCGTGAAGGTGATGGTGGTGCTAGTCAGGGTGGCGCTGGAGGTAGTGGAAGTCGAGCTGGAAGAAACAGTGCTCGATGTGCTTGTGGAGGAGCTGCTGGAAGTGCTTGTAGACGTTGTAGATGTGCTGCTGCTGGAACTGCTCGAAGAGCTTGTTGACGACGTTGACGTGCTGGTTGTCGTCGAAGATGTGCTTGTGGAGGAGCTGCTGGAAGTGCTTGTAGATGTTGTAGATGTGCTGCTGCTGGAGCTGCTCGAAGTGCTTGTTGACGACATTGACGTGCTGGTTGTCGTCGAAGATGTGTCTGTGGAGGAGCTGCTGGAAGTGCTTGTGGAGGTTGCGGTTGTGCTGCTGCTGGAACTGCTGGAAGTGCTTGTGGAGGACATTGACGTGCTGGTAGTGGTTGAGGAGGTGCCTGTGGAGGAGCTGCTGGACGTGCTCGTGGACGACGTTGATGTGCTGGTTGTTGTTGAGGACGTGCTTGTGGACGAGCTGCTGGAAGTGCTCGTAGATGATGTAGTTGTGCTGCTGCTGGAGCTGCTAGAAGTGCTTGTGGATGAAGTTGATGTGCTGGTGGTTGTGGAGGAGCTGCTGGACGTGCTCGTAGATGTTGTAGTCGTGCTGCTGCTGGAGCTGCTAGACGTGCTTGTGGATGAAGTTGATGTGCTTGTGGTTGTGGAGGAGCTGCTGGACGTGCTCGTAGATGTTGTAGTCGTGCTGCTGCTGGAGCTGCTAGACGTGCTTGTGGATGAAGTTGACGTGCTTGTGGTTGTGGAGGAGCTGCTGGACGTGCTCGTAGATGTTGTAGTCGTGCTGCTGCTGGAGCTGCTAGACGTGCTTGTGGATGAAGTTGATGTGCTTGTGGTTGTGGAGGAGCTGCTGGACGTGCTCGTAAATGTTGTAGTCGTGCTGCTGCTGGAGCTGCTAGACGTGCTTGTGGACGAACTTGATGTGCTTGTGGTTGTGGAGGAGCTGCTGGACGTGCTCGTAGATGTTGTAGTCGTGCTGCTGCTGGAGCTGCTAGAAGTGCTTGTGGATGAAACTGAAGTGCTGGTAGTTGTTGAAGATTTGCTTGTGGAGGAGCTGCTGGAAGTGCTTGTGGACGTTGCAGTTGCACTGCTGCTGGAGGTACTCGAAGTGCTTGTGGACGACGTTGTCATGCTGGTTACGCTCGTGGTGAGCGTGGTGGTGCCTTGGCTTCTCAAATCTCGGCGATGCCAGATCCCTGAATCCCTCAAGCCTTAGCCCCTTGTTGTCCGCCAGCTCACCCTATAAACTCTAAATCTAAACTGCTCTTCGATCACGCGACTGCTGCGGCTGGAAGAACTTGAAGTGGTGGATACCGTGATGGAGGATGCCGTGCTGGAGGATACCGTGCTGGAGGAGGTGCTGCTGAAAGTGGTCGAGGTGATGGTCGTACTTGTTATGGTCGTCGGTGCATCGCAGCAGAGCGCCGTGTATGGCACCTGGTCGACTTCGTAAATGGTTTGTGGACTGGCCTTTAGTGTGTACCCGGATGGGCACGAGTATTGGTAACACGTGAAAAAAATCTTGGCGTAGCCGGAAGAGTCATCGCACACTGTTTGCTGTGTGTCGTATCGATGCAGCCAGATGGACGCTGGCTGATAAATGTCCCAAATGTTGAAGATGCCATAATCATCGGGATCAGGGGCAGGGTAAGTCGTCAATGGGGTCGAATAGCAGTTGTTGTCCGAATACACGTGAGCATAGGTTCCGGCGGCAAGGTCGATCTGACCAAAGTACGGATTACCCTGATACATGAGGCACTGAGAGCCGTCCGAGCAGGTCAAGCCGCTTATCGGTTGGCAGCTGTTGTAGAAGCTGCACGAAGTAACAAAAAAATCGCGAACGGCATAGCTCCCCTCCTGCAAGGTAGGCTGGCAAAGCAGGGTTCCTTGGTAGTCCAGTAACCACATCTACAATAAGGCTTAATAAGGGTACCTTTTGCGGGTTAGCTGCTTTCAGATATAAGGGAACCCCAAAAAACAAGGGCAAAAGTGTAAAAACTCAGCTAACCCAAGCTTCTGTACCAGTCTGTCAAACATGACGCTCGCACGGAAGGGAGAAAAGACAGCAGCAGGGCTAAAGGAATGTCCATGTGGCAAGATTTCTGTGCGGCTCTCTGGTGCCTCTCGGTCAAGAGAGCCCCCAAAAACCAAAAAAAGAAAGAGCAATCCCTGTATTACCTTTACAAGGAAGGTTATTTTTTTGGGGGGCGGGGGCTCTTGGTCTATCCGTACTCTGCAACGGGATGCGAGGGGATGTGAGAGGACAATCTTGGTGTGAAGCTGGCAGACAGCTTGAGCCTCGGTACTCTCTGGAGGAGTGCAAAAACAAATGGTCCCCTCCTCGCTGACCCGTGGTCCCGTTGAGGGTTTAGGGTTTAGGGTTTAGGGTTTAGGGCTTAGGGTTTAGGGCTTAGGGTTTAGGGTTTAGGGTTTAGGGTTTAGGGTTTAGGGTTTAGGGTTTAGGGTTTAGGGATTAGGGTTTAGGGATTAGGGGTTAGGGTTTAGGGTTTAGGGTTTAGGGTTTAGGGTTTAGGGTTTAGGGTTTAGGGTTTAGGGTTTAGGGTTTAGGGTTTAGGGTTTAGGGTTTAGGGTTTAGGGTTTAGGGTTTAGGGTTTAGGGTTTAGGGTTCAGGGTCCCCGTCACCCTAAACCCTAAACCACCGGAACCACAGCCTTCAACCCCCGAAAGGGTATTGTAAACGCTTGCCCGGCCCCAGGCAGGAAAGGAGGTGGGGGGGGGGGTGGGGGGGGTGGGGGGGCCGACAGGCGGGACCCTCCACGGCATCGGTTTGCCGCTCCTCCAAGCGATGGGGGGGGTCCCACAAAGCGGGGCGGGCGATCCGGGTCTGCTTGTTCCAGACGCTTCTCGGCAGGAAGCCGAGGCGAATTTAACATTAGGGGGTAAGGGTGGTGTATTAATAGGGGGAGGGGATTAAATTAGATCCCGCAGCGCTCTCGCCCACCCTCTCGTTCCTCCGCCGTCCCCTTCCGTCCACACCCGTTCTGCACTCCCCGCATCCCTAAACCCTAGACCCAAAACCCAAAACCCTAAACCCTAAACCCGTCCACCCGCCCTTCTCCTGCCCAGCAGCTCGCGTAGTCAAACATCCAACCCCCCCCTGGGGGTGGATTGATCATGCCTGCAGAATTTTGGGCCGGAAATGGCAGCTACCCTGGCCACCATGGCAGTTGTTAAGGAGCAAGGAAGTCACCCTTCGTGCCTGGTGGTGTGGGGCTTCTCACCAAGGATTGGTCGCGGCAACTGATCCCCAATTTGTCATGCTGAGCTTGGCGCTACGCAGCCGTTGATGTGAGTCGATTGATATAGGGGCCTTAATAATAATAATAATAATAATAATAATAATAATAATAATAATAATAATAATAATAATAATAATAATAATAATAATAGCAATAATAATAATAGTAATAAAATAATAATAATAATAATAATAATAATAATAATAATAATAATAATCGTAACAATGATAATAACAATAATAATAGCAATAATAATAGCAATAATAATAACAATAACATAATGAGAGTAGCAATAATAGTAATAATGATTGGAATAGGGCTTCGGGGGGGCTAAGGTTCAGCTTTGGTTGGCGCCCAAGCCAAAATCTCAAATTCCAAGGTGTCCCGGCGGCTATGCCGGAGCCGACGCTGAAAGTACATATATATATATATATATATATATAGCCCTTAAGGGATTATGTAGGGTATATATATATATGTATGGTCACACCCCGCCCCCCCATGATTTAGGTTTTTCTTTGTTATAAAACCCTCGTAAATACCGATTAAAATGATATGCTATGTCAGGCGATGTCCTGTTTTTGCACGTCTAATCGTATGTGAGAAAACCTGTAAATAGTGAAAAAACGTGTGTGTGTGTGTGTAGCACTACTTGCACATCATCACCAAAAAAAACACCAAAAAAACGCACGAAAATGCAATTGAGTGAACGTGTGTGTGTGTGTGTGTGTGAATTATTTGCATAGGACGGGCTTATAAACACAGAATAGTATGCAAAAAGCACTTTTTTGAAAAATTTGCCATTTAAAACATTCCAAAAATCCAAAAACTCAAAACCATGGAGCCGGGAGGCCGTCGTTTTGGAGATTTTGGTTTTCTCGAGGTTTTTTGGTTTTGAAAATAAAAAAACCATGTTGTTTTTGGATTTTACTTGTTCCTGACCTCAAAAATCAAAAAGACTTGTTTTTTGGGATTTTCACTCAAAATCCAAAAGCCCCCTCGCTTTTTTTGATTTCAGGTGCTCCTGGCCTCAGAAACCAAAAAAAAACACATGATTTTGGATTTTCACTCAAAATCCAAAAACACACAAGGAAACCCTTGTGCTTTTTTGGATTTTCAACCCCGCGGACAGTAAAGTCCAAAAAAAGCACATGTTTTTTTGTGATTTTTCCAAAAATACCCCCAAAAAACCTGGAGAAAACCAAAAAAATCCAAAAACGGCGGCCTCCCGGCTCCATGGTTTGGAGTATTTGGATTTTTGGTTTTGGGATTGTGGGGTTTTTTTGCAAATCTTGCAACAAAAAATGCTCTGCCTGTATGCTGAATGTGTATTGTTCTAAGTTGTTTCTTCTAATGTGACTGCCTTGCACACACACACACAGAAAAACACACAAACACATCAAACATTTCGTTTTAATTTAAATTCAGCCTATTCGTTATGTAGGGCGTGCCGTTAACATGTAAAGTAAAGGTCGTTAGGTTTAATTACGAATGAGGCTTAGAAGAGGATGTCTTGGGATGTGGCATCTTAAAGAAATTAGTTAAAGAGGGTGTGTTTCTGAGGATGTGACCTCAATTCAAAGTCTCATTAGACTTAATTGTGACCTAGAAGAGGATGTCTTGGGGCGTGGCCGCTTAATTTAAAAGTCTATCTATGTGGAATTACAAACGAAGTCCAGATGAGGATTTTTTAGGGTGTGGTGTTTTCGCGCAAACCTCAAACTACATGTCATTACGAAGCGGGGCCAGAGGAGAATTTCACAGGGTGTGGTCGGTAAAATAGAAATCCAAAGAGGCAATAACAAATGAGGCTTAGAAGGGCGTGGCCTTTAAATATGTTTTTTTTTTCGATTTACTTGGTTTGTTTTTACGAAGGAAGCTGTGGCTTTATCAGACACAAGTCTATTGACATTTCATTAAAGAAGCCCCAGAAGAGGATTTCATAGGGGAGTGGCCGTTAAATATAGAATTCCAGGTACATGTAAACACCAGTAGGGGGTGGCCTCTGAAACGGCCCTCAACCCAAAATTCAATTTAAGTGGAATTACAAGCGAATCCAGATGAGGAATTTTAGGGTGTGGTGTTTTAACACAAACCTCAAATTACATTCATTACGAAGCGAGGAATTTCATAGGGTGTGGTCTGCAAAATAAAATTCCAAATAGGTATTAACCAATGAGGCTGAGAAGAGGATGTCTTGGGGCGGGGCCTCTTAATTTGTTTGTTTTACTTGGGTTTAATTACGAACGAAGCTGTGGCTTTATTATACATAGGTCTATTGACATTTTATTAAGCCCCAGAAGAAGATTTCATAGGGTGTGGCTGTTAAACATGGAATTGTATGTATATTTTAATACGAACGGGGGGCTCAAGCGGACGCCCCTTTACCACATCAGCGGCCCAGCGGGCAGGTCTTTGCAACCGAAAAGGACATCTACTTTGAGAGTCACACTGTACAAGCCAGCGAGCGTAAAAGAAGTCGTGACTAGTTGCGGACAACTTAACGCAAGGCCAGCGAGGTGAGACCACTGAAAACAAGAACCTACCGGCACCGATCACTCAGCTGCCCGACACCCATAGCAATGCTGCGCCACGTCTGGTACAGACATTAAGCGAAAGTATGGGTAGGCCGTAAGGCAAGGAACCTCCGTCACCTAAACTGCCCAACGTGTCCGTAGAGACAGTCCTCACACAAGCCAGGGCCGTAGCAAAAGCATAGCACTCACCTTAGCGCACAATCAGCAACCTCAGCGCAGTCTCTGTCCTGGCTGCAAAGTTTAGCAGGGGCGCCGGCATGCTTGACCTGCAGGGCTCCTTGTCATGCAAGTGAGGCAGTTTAAGAACCCCAAGTAGCTTAACTGCCCCGCGCAGCGGCCGGTTTTTACAGAGGCTGCAGGCTGGCACTGTTGGGCCTGCAGCCTTACAGGCGCACCAGGCAATTGCGCAATGAAACGTGTCTCGCTGAAAGGGACCAAGAAAAACCCACTATCCCTGAAACTTCGCCCAGAGGCGGCCAAGAGAAGAACGCCTATGCAATTTGCAGGGACTGGCCAAGAGGGGGCCTTCTTGGTAGCCTGCAGCTCGCAGGCTGCAGGGACTGCAAGTAGGCTTCCTTGCGCACCCATTTGGCTCAAGCCGCGTCTGCTCAAGGTGGTTAAGCCACCTGGAAAGCCGTAGGAACGGTGGGAGTCCGTAACTTCAAGGTCCGGTGTTGCTTGGAACCCTACTCGTAGGTAGCGGCCCCTCTGGGACAGCCTGGAGGCGTAGGTTTGTAGGTTCTGCTTTGCTTGCTTGGTAGCTGGGGCACCTAGCATTGCGCAGTTCCTTGCAAACGTCCGTTTGCAAGAAGAATCCTGGGCTTGCCCTGGATTGCTTCTTAACACGCAGCTGTTAACATTTCACACGGAGAGGTTGTGGCAAGTGTCAGCTGCGTCCGAAGCTGTCACCTTGCTTCGCAACTTTATAACCCTTGCAAGTATCAGCTGCGTCCGCAGTTGTTATCTTGCTTCACTAAACTCTTTCCTCAAAGTACGGTTACGTCCGGAACCGTCCTTTGCCCCATTGTCACGTAGATTCTCTCTAGGGTGTTGCATCTTACGGATAGCTTCGGCGTAAGGTATTGGCGCAATGTCGCAAGATAGAATCGGT